GCCATTCTGTTGGCTAGACTCTTAGCATCCTCACCTCAAAGGCCCAGCTCAAATGATATTATTCCCTAAAGCCTCCTTGATTCATCTTGTTGGAACCCACAACGGTAACCCACTCTTCCTTGAATGCACACTCTGCTCAGAACAACTCTTGGCATATTCCATCTTCCAGTTGTTATTTATGCTCGTTTTATTTTATTAGACTGCACGTGGTACAAACGGGAATTGTTAATTATCTTTATGTTTCTCACTGTGCCCAGCACAGAGCTTTACACATTAACAGTGCACAAAATTTATATTTTGTGAATGAAAAATTAATATGATGGCAGGAAAAATGCTTTTCTGGCAATTTAGGAGAGAATGGATGATTTCAGAAAATAAATTCCAAGAGGAAAACAAGAAAAATATGAAATGGTTCATATTTACAGAGTGACAGCCCATGAGTCAAAATTATCACAAAAATGACTCACACTAGATGATGTGACTTGAAAATTAATTACTGTTTTGGACTATAAAGGAATGAATTAGCCAACTAACTTATCACTACAAATCTTCCCGACACTGAAGTGACAAGAGAGCCGGCAGCATGGCCTAGTTTACAGATTCCCTGGCAGACACAGACCCACAAGGCAGAGGTCCTAAAGGATAAAGGCCACCAGGATCCTAATCCCTGGCTAAATGCCAGACCTGCAGAACGCCAAGCAGAGGAGTGACCACCACTCCAGACGGAGTGGGGAGCAGAGCAACCTCCAGTACTCCTCTCCCACAGAACTCTGCACTCAAATTAATACCAGTCAGCCTGGCTCCAGAGATGGGAAGGTGGCAAGAATATCACTATTAAGGTAAGTTGAATGGCAGCTGGAGTCACTCACAATTCTAAAAGAAGCGCAGGCTGCTACAAGTTGGGTGGGATTCTTGCTACAAGTTTTGAGAAAGCTAATATAATCAAAAACTAATGTCATTTCCCTGACTGATGCAGAGTATGGTGGCAAAGCTGCCAACTGTTGAGGGAAAACAAAGCTACTACGCATGCAGAGTCTTTACTGCCTCTGGGTTCAAAATCAGTTTAAATTACATGATCAAATTAATCCAGAGCACGCCTGGTTGTCTTTCAATTATTAAACAGAAATTCTATAATTTTCTAATGTAAAAGGAACTGGCCTCTCCTACCCTCCCCACGCTATGACTGACCTCATTTCTTCTAGTACGCTGTCTCCCAAGGTCCAACCCCAAATAACCCTCCAAACGAGATGGAGCTATAATTTTGCTTTCACAAACTCAGACTAAAGATGCCATCTACAAATAAAGTAGATTTCTATAAAGGAGTTATCATAGAATAAAAATTCTGGGTCACTTTAAAATTGCAGATTTTCACATTAAAAAAGCGAGGAAACCAATGCTGCCTTAATGCTGGGCTACGTTTTGTGTATGCCTGGCCTCCTGTTCAGGAATCACTAGTTCTCATCACGTCTGGGTCTTCAGTATCACTCATGCAGGACCTAGCCTGGAGTAACCATGGATGCCTGCAGCCGACCATTTGTCTATGTGCCAGGCTCCCTGCCAAGCATGACAAAACCTGACATAATCCAGACACAGTTATCATCATATGTGAAGTCCCTGTCTGCCCTCAAGTGCCAGGCAGTGGTGAGATCAGGGCACTACATAGGCCTGAAGTATGAGCTGGACACAGACTGGGCTGCAACTGTGTTTTAAGAGGCCTGAATGAGTGAGGTGCAGAACAGGGAACAGGCATCCCATGTTGAAGCAAAAACAGCACAAAGACTGAGAGGAATTCAACCGGCAGTTAAGAAATGAGAGAACCCTTCTCTGAAAGATCAGTGAGAGCAACTTTTTGGCACATGGTCAGTGCCTCAGGGCAGGGGTTTGCCCATCATGTTCACTCAAGTATCCCCAAAGCCTAGCTCAGTGCCTGGCACATGGAAGCCAGTCCTGAAAATAGCTTTTTTTTTTTCCTGATTATAAAAGTAATAGGTACTCACTGTAGAAGACTCGGGTAATACAGAAAACTGAATATGACAGTAATCTTTAGAAATCGCCCCGCCCACAAGATGCCTCTACCACCAGTTTGGTAAATCCAACAGCATAATGCTTGTAATTCTTAAAGCAGTGTTCCAGCAGAGCATTTCTCAGCAATGCATATAAAGCGGAATACTTAGTCATTTGGCTTTACACAACCTCATTTGACACGCTAAAAAGAAAAGAGTCTACCTCTGTTCTTTGTCGATAGAAACAATAACGCAATCGGAAGGCCTCTCTCGGTCACGCTCTTTCTGAACCACTTGATAAAAGTGCTGGAAAAGCCCCTCTTTCCGAGCGTCCCTGCCGCTGGCATCATCTGGAAAATATTGATGTATTCATGCTTTTTGCGAGGCCAAAAGTAATGCACTGGTGAGCAAAAACTCACCAGAAGAAAAAACTCACCCAAGAAAGGTTTTCAGGGTGTCTTACAAAAGTGTAAATCAAAGACAACACAGCTACAAAGAACAGACAAGGAAAATATAAGGACACTTTCAACAAGATTCTTACCCAGCTGAGAGTACTGGCATCGCGCATGGCTCTCTTCATTCCCTTTTGTATAATCAGCCACCCTTCGCCATAATTCTTCAATGCTGTTGGATGCATGAAAATATAACAGTTTGTGCAAATACAGTCTCCCTCTAAACGGGTCCCCAAAAGCCCAAAAATAAATGCCAGATCACCAAGCACAACATATAGGCACCTAAATAAAGACTAAAACGAAGCTCAATGATCTGTTCTCGTTTCACAATATTTTTAGTTTCTGGAATTTTCTGCTCTTTCCCATTCAGTTCCTTTTGTCTGTTATAATGAAAAGTACTACATGGAGCCATTGATCTTTGTCAAGTAAGATTCAGATATAGACAGAGAGTGAGATTCATACTTTCAGGTGTTTATTCTAAAGGACATGAGAGAATTTCATCTGAAGTGTTCATCTTTTAAACAAGAGGTGCTTATCTCTGAAGGTTTTCACTGGATATGGGTGAAAAGACGAATCAACAAGATCTGCCCACTTTACTCCTAAACACTCTACAGCTCCCGTGAGCAAGCGATTTCCCCCTGCTAAAGGTGTGCAGAATAGTGCACAGATGCTGGGTGATCTATCAGCCATCTAAAGTGGTTCCCCTGCTGTGATTTAACAGGAAAGGGGGCATTCAATGCACTATGGACCCTAAATCAGGCATTTTTACTGCAGCTCCCCAGCATCCAGACACCGATTTTCTGTCCACAAGGAATGACCTGCCAGAGAGAGAATCCCCTCGGCAGGCAGCAATTAGCTCTTTTCTCACCAGAGGCATCACACTGCCTGGCAAAGCAGCCGTGGAGCACCTCAAACCATGACTACTCAGCAAGCTGCCAACAAGCGTCGATTCCCTTTGCTCTTTCCCTGTGCGATGCTCATTCGGGTTCTTGTCCACGTCCAACCGCCTGACAGAGCAGTCGCAGCTCCAGACTTTAAGACGCAAAGCTTTTGCCTAAGTCCATGCCTCCCCTACTGCCCTGAGAATCCTGAGCTACACAAGAATGCTCCCCTCCCGCAAGCAGGCTTTATCTTTGTCTGCTGTCTCTGACAAATGCTGGCCGTTGACTCCAGAGGCCATTCTTCAGACTGCCTGCTTTCTCTAACCCTGCTACACTATGCTCTTACAGGCTTCCCCTCAAACTTCATACAGTTACTTTCTTTTAATGAAGGGGTATTGTAAACTCCTCACCACTACCCTAAATAATAAGGGGGGGCTTACTGGGAGGTGCCCTAGAAGCTGGTACCTGTTCATCCAGGAAAGGCAGTATGTTGAAACTGCAGCTACCTGAGTTTGAATCTCAACTCCATCACTTACTTACCAGCTTGAACAAGTTACTTAACACCATTATGCCTTAGTCTCCTCACCTGTAAAATGGGGCTATTAGGAGAATCTGCCTCTAAACATTGCTATGAGGATTAAACGAGTTAATACAGGTAAATCCTATAGAATGGTGCCGGCCACAGAGAGGCCCTCAATAGATATAAGTCCTTATTATCTACCTCTGCCTTTAGGTTTCTTTCAGGCCCAGGGCAAAGAAAATCTCTCCTTCAGAATATCGCCAAACAGTTCTAAGTCTCATTTTCAGGAAATGCTACCTGAGAGAAGCTAGCCTCCGTTAATAGTCACTCCTGAATTCTATACTTTCAAGTGCTTCTGCAGTTGAGGAAAGCACTTTTCAATTTTGAATTATTAATCTAATCTGACACAAATCTCATCTTTAATGCAGGCAAGAGAGAGGCCCTGTCAAGGTTCATACATACAAAAATCAATTTAAATACAGTTCAAGGAACTTGCTTTTACCAAAACTACAGAGGTCGATCCAAGGCAAGAATCTTGAACTGCCATGTTGATTTACCTATTTAGTTTCTTAGAAGAACTCCACTGCTGAATGTAGAAGACAGAGTAAACTAAATAAGATAACCTTCAAAACTGGTTTACTTACTTGGGGATACCACACAGTGGTCAAACACAATGAGGATGAATAATCCTCTGCGACGTACTGTTAAGTGAAAGAAACAAGTTCCAGAAAAACATACCAGTGTGAAATGAACCATTTAAGTTACAAGCAAGGAAAAAAACATTGGGAGAGTTCTGAAAAGGGATTTTCACTTTTTATTATCAGACACTTTCATAACTATTTTTCCATTTCTTGGGTTAAAAAATAATTTTAAAGTAACTTTAATTTATACCTGGTCTGGAATATTGACCTGTCTCATAATAAAATAAATTCGCATTTTTTGAGCACATACCAATGGTTAGATGGCAGTAGAGAAAAGGTGTGTAGGCGTGGAAGAAGGGAGTTTCAGAAGGGAGTCCGGGGCCTGCTACAGATAACCCACCAGGTGGGTTACCCACCTTAGAGCTGACTGACAAATCCACAAAGAGAAGGCCTGAGTGGCTGAGTCCCTTCAGGCTGCAGGTCTGTTTTAGTTCCTAGAGTCCAAATGTCTATGCAAAGGTGAAAATTAAAGTGGAATGGCTTAATATGATCAAGTTGGCCTGTGGGACTTCCCAAAAAGCAAATATTAATAACATCAATTTTAACAAACACGTAAGTCTGCACAGTAAGACCACATCTAAATTATTACTAAAGCTTTTAGCAAATTGAGCCACAACAATAAAATTTTACCTTAGCATGTCTTCACCCTCCTTTAAGTAGCCCTCTTGGGGAGAATAAGAAGTCGGCAGAAAAGGTTTATATGGCTTACTGCTAAAAAACAACAAAGATAAAATTACACTTAAGAAGAAATTATTTCCCATAGTCCTCACATCGGTTTCTGCAGCTCTGGTGCACTCAAAGGTGATTAAGTCTTCAGTTCAACCGGGTTTTAAAAACTCAAACAATGGCTTTTCTCAAGACTTTTTTTTTCAGAACCCCTACTTTATTTTGCAATGCCTATTTCTATTTTTGCCTAGTTTGCTTGCTCAAATGCTTTTGCCGAGTTGACAATTGAAGGCACAGCTCTGTCACAGAAGACCATTATAAACTCACTGACAGCAAGGAGCTTCAACATAATAAACCTGATTTGCCCAACTGAGCCAAACTCACTAAAAGTTTGCATGCAATGCTGATGGTTTGGTAACTATGAAAGATAATAATAACAATAAATCACTATTTTTTAAAGCTTTTCTTTCCCAGATGCTCCACCAATATTACCATAAATTCTCGTGGATCATCTGCAACCTTTAATGTATCTGACACTAACTCCACAATGGAGCTTATAAAAGAAAATTCCTAAATGAATCATGTGCATAATTCTAAGTATTAAATCCTCAATTAAGGTCACTGTTATAAATATCTACATGCCAAATGCGTTTTGACAGAGACACCATCTTCCTCATTCAGAAGTTGTGTGGTTAATTAATAACATAAATCAAAATCGAAGACAAAAATAAAGGGCAAAACCTAAGAAGCAAATGCCTGCTCCAAGTTGTTAGCTGGAAGAGACAAGGGGCTAAACAAGATTAACTATTATAAATTTGGACTGAGAGGGTTAAAGAGTTATTAGAAAGATTTCCATTTCCAAAAAGGATAAGGAGCACAGATGCTCCACTCCACCCTCTTCTCGATGATCCTAGCCAAGTTTGAAGGCCATGAGAAGGAATAAGCAGATGGTTCAATGTGAGTAAGTCAAAAGGAAGTTGCATTTGCCTTATTCGGCTTCCTAGCAACTAGACTGAATGATGCCAAGAAAGCCAGCCGGCTCTAAGGAGAAACACTGCAGGATACTTGGAACCCAGTGGTCAGGCAGGGGAGAAAAGGCCTCCAGACACCCCCACCTGGCAAAATGAATCCTACCAACTCCCGCACTTCCCACCTCACCAGATCCTCCCATTTGCCTCGAAGTTCCCTCTCCAGCCCATCTAGCCATGCTAATGTCAACCACCTGACAACTTAAAACTCCTTTCAGGACCACCTTTCAAACTCCAGTAACATCATCAGATGAGCAGTTTGGCCCAGCCATCAAAGAATAACTCCCCACTTCTCCATGGGAGGGAAGGCCCCATGCACTCTTAATGTACCTCGGCCAGCTGGACAAAGGATTCTGCAGGCCAAAAGGCCCACGCTCAAACACTGCAGCCCAAGCTCTGGGAAAGGCAGGTGCAAACATCGGGTAGGATCCCAGAGGCATGAGAAACATCCTTCCTGGAGAGTGGATTTACACTCAGGCAGGAGTTTCCTTTGTAGAAGTACATAAATATGCACATGAAATACATCCCCATTACAACGCAAAAGGTCAAAGGCTTGGCCATTATTAAAAGTTGCAAGGTTACCCTGAGTTCTGGCAGTGCCACGGTATTCTGCCATATTCCCTGTGGCTTCCCTCTACCCAGTGGCACCTGCTAAACTTCAGTTCTCTCCTCACTTTGTGAGTGGCAGATTAACCATTGTCAGGTAGAAAATGGAACTTATAATTATAAACACAAGCAGGGAAATGAACAGTTTCCCATATGTTCACTGAAGATGTTTTCAACGCATTATATTTAAACCTTATAACAACCATACACGCTGGGTAATATCAACCTCCCTGCACACACTTTTTAAAAACAAATGAGGAAACTGAGGCTCATATGACTTGCTACACTGCTAAGCTGTGAAGACCAAATTCAAATCCAGCTGTGTCTGATTTGAAAAATATGCTCCTTTTAATGCGTCACAGTCTGGAAACTCTGAGGTTAACCCAGGAAGTCTGCAAGTGAAAAATTTAGCAAAAGCAATGAAAGAAGGATAAGTAAAAGGGGTAAGTAAAGATATTAAGTCATCTTATATTTTTATGGAAAGTAAATTCCCATAGGTTAAAAAAAAACTTCTCCTTTGAGAACATAGGGAGGGATGGCTCCAGGCCCACGCCCCTCCTGGCTGTGTTGCAGCAGGCAAGAGCCTCCCACCACACATCAGGGTGACCACCTAAGAGCAACTCAAAATTCAAACCTCAAGACTGATACGGAGGAACCGGAACTCTCATGTGCTGCTGGTGGGAATGTAAGACGGTATAATCTCTTCACAGAACAATTTGGTAGCTTCTTAAAAAGTAAAACATACATAACCTGACCAGTCCAC